GTCCATGACTCCTACAGGCTCTCGGGTGAAAGTGAAAGTGAAACTTAAACTGTCTGCTGAGCTCTCAACATTAGTACTCAGTGAAGCTCTTTTCAGGTTAAAATACCTTTGAGGAAATGTATTTTCAGATGCCAAGTAAATTGCATCATGGCAGCTCCATCCCCCCCACCCCCCGCGAGACAGAAGCGGAAGGTGGCTCTTAAAGAGACAGAGGCCAATTTCAAGGCGTTTAGAAGAAGTGATGAGAAGATAAGTTTATTTTCTATTTAAACATAAAAAACAGCATTTTAATAACAGCTAAAGGTGACATAGATACTTTATTATGGTATAGTATTTAAATGTATGCCTGAGAAACACATAATATTGCCCCTTTAAACTAAAAGTATAACAATTTTGTTATAAATGAAACAAAAGTATGACTGAATTATACATTTTAAAAACATTATAATAATTTTTTTGCTGCTCATGAATATCTGACTCATGGGAGACCAGTGATCACTGCTCAATGAGCTGCACAGCTGATGTGATCCGTTTCAAAGCAACAAGTCTGAAACATCAGAGTGACACAGAGCGATACAGATAAGTCAGCTCTCTTGTGTGTCCTGACAGAGTTATTGATGTTCCACTTCTATCACCTCTACCTTCATATTCTTGTTTCCTTTTGGGTGTAATCAGAACCTGTAGACTGGTGTGTGTGTGTGTTTGTGTATTTATGTTAACATAAATATGATGTAGCTAGTAAAAAAAAAAAAGGTACATCTCCAGGTACAGAAGCAGATAAATTAAGATCTGCAAAAATATATATCAAACTGACAAAATTACTAAAAGTCATCCATCCATCCTTGCCCTTTAGATGAGACAAAACTGAAAACAAGTCCCATTAGCTCTGTGTTCACAGACCCAAACATGAAACAATGAACAGAACCCAACAGGAGGCTCAGTTCTGTCTTGGACCTGCTTTTCTGCATCTGGAATCTCTGTCCATCTGTGCAGGGTACAGAGAAATCTCATGACTATCAAGGCATTCTGGAGAGAAACGTGCTGCTCGGTGTCAGAAAGTATGATGTTAGTTGCAGGTCATGGGTGCTCTGACAGAATTATGACCCAAAACACCCAAMAGTGGATCAGAACCAAACACTGGACTGTTTGAAGGGACCATCTGAGCCCTGATCTTATAAAATCCTGTTGAACATCTGTGGAAGCCACCTGACTGCTGGTTGGACAACAAATTATTAAGTTAAAGTAGCATCCTTTGTGCCTAGGTCAGTTTCATTCATTTGTTTTTATATTAAATTAATGTGTAATTCTGTATACTGTATTTTGATGTATTTCAGCATATTTCTGTATATTTCTGTGTATTTCTGTGTATTTCTGTATATTTCTGTGTATTTCTGTATATTTCTGTGTATTTCTGCGTATTTCTGTATATTTAGTTGTGTAGTGTATATTAGT